AAAATACACTAACTGGAATTTTAATGTAAGCGACCTAGCCCTGTGTATTCATTATATAAGCCTGCATTCCTTTCATCATGAAAAGCTTCTTAGCTATGCTGAGGAAGTAGCAAAACTAATTCTTCCTAATGCATTACTGCTGCTCAGCAGATCTTTCCATCCGGACATTAAATATCTCCTTTATGCTGCTGCTGTGGTAAATTCTGCACACGCAGCTTTGCTCCTGGATTTTGTGCCATGCTTGGGCAAAGCAGCCTTGTAGAAAGAGACTTTAAAAAGACCTGTTTATTCAGTAGTTAGCAGTGGAAGGTAGCCCAAGTCTTTTGAAATTTACTCTAGAAATGACTCCAATCAAGTTTTCAGTAATAAATCTGCCAAATTGATAGAATTTATAGAATTGTAATGAAGAATACCTTGAATTTATCATTCGAAATGAATGATCTCCATTTTTTTCAGAGAGAGCCACCAGACATGCGAATGGGGCAGATGGGTATGGGAGGTAAGTTTTCTGTGGCCGTCTTTCCTTTACATGTTCATTTTCTTCTCTGAATTTTTAAATAATATACATTTAAATAATATATATATTAAAATATATATTTACACACACAGAGTCTATTTTATTGGCTTATTATTTAGAAACTCCAATTTCTCCCAGTGCACTGACAGGAAACATTCCTATGGCAAACATACCAACAGTCGGGCTGGAGGTAATACTGTACATCCAGGGAGGACTGTTCAGTGGGCAGGAAACGTAGCTGGACTTGCTGTCGGAGCCATGACATGATTAAGGTTCCCATAGAAGCTTGTACTGGTACAAACTAGTACAACATGTAATGATAGACCTTGAGCCCAGGAATCTCGATTACTTTTTTTTCCCATATTTTGACTATGTGACCTAGAGTTTTAGGTCACGTGGACAAGAACCAGTGGAAAAGTAGGGGTTTGGTGGTTAGTGACCTGGACTGCAAGAGCGGTTTGTCTTGCCCTAATAGTGCAAAAGCAGCTGATAGATCAGGGTTCTGTCCCTGGGTGGAACAGTGCAGGGAGGTGTTTGTGTGGTGTTTGGTGGCTCTGCAGCAGTAAATGGGTACTCGCTTCCTCCCTGTGTCTGCCAGGAATATTCTCCAGATTTCTTTTGCAGGAGCCATTGGCATGAACAATAGAGGAGCCATGGGTGGTACCAACGTGCCCGCCGCCCCCCCTCCTGCAGCGGGGCCTGGAGCTATGATACCTGATGGAGCTATGGGAATGGTAACGTATCTGCATCTGCGCTTGGTGCACACACTCTTAAACGTAGCATGGGTTGCCTCCACTGTTGGGAGCTGTGCTGCTGAAGTCAGAGGTGTTTATTTGATCTTCAGCTCTTCTCAAATATTAGCAATCAATCTTCCCTTGATATGTGTTACTAATTTTGAGGAAAATGAGCCAAGCCTAATGCTTTGCTTCAAAAATAGCTCCTGCCAAAATACTGACTGGAAAGGTCCTAGCGTTAACATATGGTTGCTAAAAAAGCACATTGGGCAACTCGTTTGAGTTGGAGTGCTTGGAGACAGAGGTTCTTGCGACCAGAATGTCCATGACCAAAGAAGGATTCCTTTCTTGGTCATAAAGAGCAGTTTTATTTGTGTGCTGATTTTTATACCAATGGGTAGGCACAGTGGGATGGCCAGTGTTGAGAAAATAGAGGCTGCAGAGAGAAATTGAAGGGAAAGCTGAAGAATGAACGCAAAGGCTGAGGAGCTGAGCTTAATAACAAGGAAACAGTGGAGCACCAGGCTTGTATCACAGGCTTGTTTTGGAATCAGTGTTGGGATGCGAAGCGGTTTTGGTGGCACTGGGAAGTTCCCCTTTGCAGCAGTGCTCTGCTTGGGCGCTCCAGAGACCTCGCAAGCCGTGTTCCCAGCGCCGCCTCCCCGCTTACCAGGGGAAAGGCACTGCCTGAAACCCTTATTTTGCCTGTAGACTTCAGTCTTATCACTCTTTGGGCTCGGGGTTATCTTTGTTGGGGGCGGGGGTTCCTAGCAAGGTCATTCGGGGCTGTGCAACGCTGGTAGCATCCAAATGGACTTAAATGGCTCCTAACCGTGCGCTTTCCCTTCTCCCTCCGCCTTCTCTGCTCTTGGGCAGACTCCCCCGCCGCCCGCAGATCGCTTTGGCCAGGGCGGCACCATGGAAGGACTGGGAGCTATGGGAGGAAACCCGCCTGCCTTCAACAGAGGGAACCCGGGCGGCGACTTCGGCCCTAACAAGCGTCGCCGATACTAACAGGATTCGGCTCCCCCCTGCACACACCCCAAAGAGGAAAGGAATCTCAGCGGGCCGGATAGGGTTCTACTCAGGGGGTGGATGTTGGAAATAGGTAGTTAGGGGCCTGCTTTGGTAAAGCCACTCTAGGACAAGGGGAGTGCAGTCTGACTGGTAAAGGTTTTAGGAAATTTCATGTGGTGCATTCCTATAATTTCAATGTGAAGATGGATTCTGGAAGGCTGCCGTGGTTGTTCAGTAACGGTAAGATCTGGCAAGGCCCTTCAGGCCTTGGCCGTTCCAGGTTTCCTGTTGGCAGCCGGAGTCCTGAGACTAAACTAGTTACCATTGGAGTATGTCTTGGCATATTTTTTTTATTATTATTTTTTAGTGTAGTGAACCTTGCTTTAAGCACAGGCAAGTCTCTGGAGAACTAGGGCAGCATCTGGGTACTTTGCAGTTCCCACGACTCTGTAAATTTATATAGCTCCAAATGATTCATCATGTAGTAAATTGGGGAGATTTTTATGTTCTTTTCTTTCTTTTCTTTCCTCCTAACCTGTAGTTATTCTTTTTCTCTGGACCATCTGTTTCTTTAAAGTAGTTGACCGTCATGTGCAGCCAGAATGGCTGGAAGGCTCTTGTTTGGATGGATTTTTTGATAACGTGTTGTATCGCTGTTTATTTTTACTGGTAGTAAAGTACAATCTATTGGACAAAGATACTGTATCTCATGCTGAAGATTTAACTGAAACCAATGTTTGTATAATCTTAACCTTGCCTGTCTTTTGTGTAGAAGTACTACAAGATTTTTTCATTTAGTGTAAACTGTTTGAACACAAGCTGTAATTGTCCCACTAACAAGTTTGAGTTTGTCTGAGGAATGTTACAGGAATGCATTATTAAAGTGGATTTTAAGCCTTTTTTATCTGGTGTGCTGTCTATTCTGTTTCTGGGGGAAAAAAATAGGTACATACAGCTTGAAATAAATGGGGCTTCAGCTTGTGGAGCAAAGGTGGTTTCAGCACAACCATGTGAAGAGTGTATTTAACCCTGGAGCTTTCTCCAACAATTCTCCTTGGCACAGAGGGAGTTTGATTTGTGTTTTGGAAGGATGCCTTCAACCCTGGCATTTCGGAATAAACTGAGGGAGCTCCTCATGGAGCAGAGGCTGCTTGTGCAGAAAGGTCTAAGGGAAGGGAGCTGTGTCCTCCCGAGCTCATCCCGGCGCTCACATCCACTGAAGTGCTTTGCTGTTGGTCTGGCTGCCGGCAGCGCTTGGATCACGTTGCAGCTCCCCTGTCTATAGTTTTGAGCAGCAATTCACAAATACGGCACTGTCTGATACTGTCCAAGACGCGGATTCTGCACAGGCATCTTGCTCATGTGCTGCAGTGCAGCCAATCTGCAGAGAAGCCTGCCTGGCTTTGGAGGTTGCTGCCTGGTACAGAGTGATAAAGTGTTTTGACTATCATTGCTGTCTGCTGTCATGTTTGATCAACCTCTTTATTATGAACCGATACTGCACGAGTGCGTTTTAGAGCAAGGACTGATGATCTATCTGCTTCTTACCCACTTGCTCTTAGATTTAAACCCGGGTCGTTTCTAGGCTTCAAAGTCACGTAGTGCTTGTGTGCAGCTTCCTCTAGAGCAGCAGTGATTGCATTTGCCAGAACCAGAGCAACTCCGCAGACTCCATCTGCCACCTAGATAATTTTGTGACATCGAAGGTGTAGATAAATTTCCCATTTTTTATCTTTTATTTTCATTCTGACATGCTGCTGTTTGCTAGAAGCTGCGTTGATCAGAAGGCTGCACTGGAAGAACATAAGCTGCTGCTTTTCCATGGGGCTCCCCTTGGGTGTTTCGTGTGGCCCTGCTGGGAAGGGTGACGGTGCTGGGTGGAGGGGAGCACAACGTCATGGAACGGGGGTCCCTTCCCGGCCCCCCGGGGGCGGCCGCGTCTCGGGGCTGCCCGGGAGGCGGGCGCAGAAACCCGAGCTCTTCTTGGCACCGCGAGGGCAACAGCTGCAGCGCTGCCGGGAGGCCGAGCGGGGTGAAACCCTAGAGCTCCACGCAGCAAATTCCCCGGCACCGGCTCCGCCTGCTGCACGTGGCCCCCAGCCCCGGCTCTGCAAGCTGGGGGCACCTTTCCAGCCACCCGCTCCCAGCATTTATTGTGTTTCTGAGGCGTTTTCCAAGTGACTTGTGCTTCTGCTAGGCATTCCCAGCGTTGCCGTGTCCCAGGGGTCCTTCCCTGTCCTTCGCCTCTGCCTCCCTGCAATTCAAAAGGCTGCACTGGGGGAAGGGGATGGGGATAGGGGCCATGGTGCCTCTCTGCTCCATCCAGGGGCTGCCAGGTCTCTTCCTAACCACTCACCTCCACATTCCTGCCCAAACCGCCCCAGGCCCTGCAGAACCGCACTGAGGGAAAGTTAAAACCTTGGCTTTTCACGTGTCTTTATATGCCCGTGCGCTTATTCTTGCTCCTTAACGCTCGATAACTACGTGGCGAGCGCGTGGGGAGCCTGCAGCGAGCGGGGCCGGTCCCGGAGGGGCTCCTGCGGGATGCAGCGCGGCGGTGCCGGAATGCCTGCGGAGATAGCGGCGCCCGCCGAGATAGCGGGGCCGGCGGGCGCGCGGGACTCGCATGCCCATCTTTGGGCTGCTCTCCGATTACCACCCACGCCCTGGGCGGCCGCCAAGCAGCGCGGCCCCCGGCCCGGCCCCGCGCGCAGCCCGCGGGAGCCGCGGCCATGGAGCTGCTCTGCTACAACACGGGCTGCGGGCAGCGCTTCGACCCCGCGCGCAACTCGCCGGGTAGGAGCCGGAGCCGGCGGCGGCTGCGGTGGCTTGGGCGCCTGCTGAGCGGCTCCACGCGGTTCCTCTCTCCCGCACAGATTCCTGCGTGTTTCACCCGGGCGTCCCCATCTTCCACGACGCCCTGAAGGTGAGCGGGGCCCGGAGCGCCGGGGGGGACCTGTGCTCCCTCACCGCTCACCTCGTGTCCTGTCCTGCTGCTCAGGGATGGTCGTGCTGCAAGAAACGCACCACGGACTTCTCCGAGTTCCTCGCCATAAAGGTGAGTGACTGGTGCCGGTTGCTCCGCGGGCCCCGGCTGTCCCTGCTGGGGGCCAATCCCCCATTCCCGGGGCGTTGTGGGGTGGATGCGGTGCCCAAAGCGCCGGCCACACTCTGAGCTCTAACCAGCCCCTCGGAGGGCAGGAGGAGGCCAGAGGCCGCTGGAGATGGTGGAGACTCCTGCTGCCCTTGAGCTGCTTAAGGACATCCGAGCTGGGGCCTTTTCCCACCGCTCAGGCTGCTTTGGCTCCTGGGGCTCTGTGCAGAGCCCCTGCCCTGGTGTGGGGACAGAGACCGGGGAGCCTCCAGGCTGTGGAAACCCATGGGGTTTGGGAGCAACCTCCGGGCTAGAGAGGGCCAAGCTGGGGCTGTGGGTGCTCCGCAGGGCTGCACGAAGGGGTATCACAGCAAGGAGAAGCCCCCTCAGCCGTTGAGCCGGGAGGAGACCTCAGAGAAGCCGAAGGCTGAGCCGGCTGCAGAGCTCATTGTCCAAGGACCAGCGTCAGCGGAGCGGAGGCAGCGGGAAAGGCCAAGGTGAGGCCGGGAGCGTCGGTGCCGGCGCCGCGGGGGCTCCGCGGGAAGAGCCCTCGGACGCGGCCGCTGCTCTTTTCCAGCTCCGACGAACCCAGGCAGCTGCTGCCCATTAAAGCATCCAGGTCTCTGCAGCAGGCGCTGGAGAAGCTGGAGCTGCGTGCGCAGGAGAGGGACGGCGAGGGCAGCGGCGCAGGTACGAGGGGCGCCGGGGCGGCCGCCGGGCACCGCGGGGCCGGGGGCCGCGGTGACGCCCGCGCTGTCCCCGCAGGGGAGGCTGCTGCCCAGGTGAGAGCTGGCACCGCCTGCAAGAACGCGGCCTGCAAGGCGGTGAGTCTGCAGCTCGGCGCACGGGAAAGCAGCTGCTATGGATGCTGCACGTGCAGCCTCTGCTCTCGCAGCTTCCCGGCCCCTCCGGGAGGCTTCCCAAGTCCCACCTTTGTGTTACGTCCGCTTTTGCCACATTAATTGCTTGCAATGGAACAAAACGTGTGTTCAGGACCTGCGTTTGGGCTCAAAGGAATAATTCCAGGCGGCTTTCAATCAAGTGCAGCACAGCCCCCTTTCCACCGTGCACCGTGCGGGGCTGCCTGCCCGCCCCGAGCCCAAGGAGAGGCTGAGGGAACCGCAGGGCGACGGCAGCCCAGGGCAGCGAGGGGCAGTCGAGGGCACGAGGCTGCAGGGCAGGGGAAGGAGCCCAGCAACCCCAGGGCGTTTCTGCACCGTGCAAACCCCCCGCACGCTGTGCAAGCCCCGCGAGGCGCCAGGACTTCCCGGCAGTGCCAGGGGGCCGGGATGCAGCCGAGCCGCTCGGCTCCTTGTCCCGCAGATCTACCAGGGGCCGGACAGCGACGCAGACACTTGCACTTTCCACCCGGGAGTCCCCGTCTTCCATGAGGGGTAAGAAACGCTCCTTTCCTGGGAGCAAATCCCGGGGTTTCGCAGAGCTCCAAACCTGACCACGTGCCCCCTCCCGCAGGATGAAGTACTGGAGCTGCTGCGCGGTGAAATCCACGGATTTTGGGGCCTTCCTGGAGCAGCCAGGCTGCAGCAGCGGGCGGCACTGCTGGGAGCAGAAGCGGGTAAGGGGCTGTGGGGCATGTGCAAGGCGAGGGGCAGGAGGAGAGCAAGGGGTGACAGGCGGGGGGTCACGGTCCCCAGTGCCGCTGCTGCGGGATGCCCGGAGCAGTCGCCACGGAGCTTGGGAGAGATTTTAAATGGGAATAGAAGGCAGATGGAAAGGAGGCTGTGCCCATAGGGCACGAGATGAGGTTTCCTGAGCACGCAGAGCCCCTGGGCTCAGCGGGATGATGTGGGGACGACCCTCCACGTCCCGCGGGGCGGCTGGCAGGGCCTCCCCTGCACCTCCCCGCTCCGGCGTCGCTCCAGCGTCGCTCCCGCTGCTCGGCAGGACAGGAAGGCCGCGTCCTGCCGCCACGACTGGCACCAGACCGGCAGCCACGTGGTGCTCACCGTCTACGCCAGGAACCCGCTGCCAGCCCTCAGCACCGTCAAAGCCAACCGCACCGTGGTGAGGGGCCCGGGAGCGACCGGCAGCGCTTTGGGGCGTCCCTTTTGGGCACCGTGGCCACGCGCAGCCCTTGCGGTGCCGCTGAGCCCGGGTCCTGCGGGCTCTCTTGCAGCTCGAGGTTCACGTCGTCTTCGAGGGCGATAAGGTCTTCCAGGCAGAACTGGAGCTCTGGGGGGTAAGAGCCGTCGCTTTGAGTCCCCTCTTGCAGCGGCCGGTGGGTGATGGGCTGGGAGGGGTGGGTGAGTCTGGGACACTTGCAGCCCCGATACGGGCCCTGGGAGACAACGTCACTGCTGGTCAGGTCACCAGTCTCGGGCTTTTTTGCCGCTGCTCAACCTCCGTGTGCTCCTCCCTGGGACTTTCATTACATTAGCACATGGAAATGATGTGACCCGCGGCACTCGGCCTGTCCCAGCGCACAGGCTGCTGTTTTTGTGGAGGGAATGGTGATTTCCTAGTTCCCTCCTTGGCCTTTTCCACCGCTGGCTCCCAACGCCCCACAGGGTGCAGGGCTCCCTCCTTGTCACCTCCACTAAAACAGATGCTGATGTAGAGACCTTGGGCAGCCCCCAATGGCCTCGTCTTGTCCCCACCCTCCGCCCCGCGGTCCTGCAGCCCCGTGGGGAGGCAGCCCGGCCCCCAGCGCCCCGTCCTCCCGCCAGGTGATCGACACGGGCAAGAGCTTCGTGAGCATGGTGCCCACCAAGGTGGAGGTGACGCTGAGCAAGGCGAGCGCCGGGCGCTGGGCCGCGCTGCAGCTGCCGCCGGGCAGCCCGCGCGCCCGCGGGGACCGCGCGGACCGGGACCCTGCCCCGGCGCCGGAGCCCCGCGGAGCCCTGGACGACGACTCGGACGACGGCCTGAGCTGGTCGGAGGATGAGGATGAGGACGAGGAGATGGGGAGGGCGTCGCTGAGTGCCTGATGCCCCCGTTGCAACACGCCGGCGCCGCGGCAGCGCCCACGGCCACCGGTGTCCCGCCGGGCACCGCGCGCGGCCCAGAGGGCAGCAGCAGAACCCCCATGCGGAGGTGACAGCCCCGCGTCCCCGTGCGGGGGTGACAGCCTCGTGTCCCCCGTGTGGAGGTGACAACCCCGTGTCCCCCCGTGTGGAGGTGACAACCCCGTGTCCCCCCGTGTGGAGGTGACGGCCCCACGTCCCCCCGTGTGGAGGTGATGGCCCCGTGTCCCCCCGTGCGGGGGTGACAGCCCTGTGTCCTCGTGCGGGGGTGACAGCCCCGTCCCCCTGTGTGGAGGTGATGGCCCCGTCCCCACGTGTGGAGGTGACGACCCCGCGTCCCCGTGCGGGGGTGATGGTCCTGCGTCCCCCCGTGCGGGGGTGACAGCCTCATGTCCCCCGTGTGGAGGTGACGGCCCCGCGTCCCCGTGCGGGGGTGATGGTCCTGCGTCCCCCCGTGCAGGGGTGACAGCCTCGTGTCCCCCATGCGGAGGTGACGGCCCCACGTCCCCCCGTGTGGAGGTGACGGCCCCGTGTCCCCCGTGTGGAGGTGACAACCCCGCGTCCCCCTGTGCGGGGGTGACAGCCTCGTGTCCCCCGTGCGGAGGTGACGGCCCCGTGTCCCCCCGGGTGCGGGGGTTTTGCTGACCCGCTGGCCAGGCGGTTGTGCTGCTGCCTGCGGCGCTGCCGGGGGCTCCGCTGTCTCCTTTATCAAAACCCTCGCCAGAGCCAGGTCGGCCCAGCGTTCATAACGGCGGGAACGGGCGCGAGGCGCCGCGGCGGGGCAGCGCGCGGGGGGTTGCCGTGCACCCGCGCTGCCGAGCGCAAAGCGCCGCGCGCCGTTTGCCGCCTGCGCG